GCATTGGGAAAAGTGCCGGCATTGCGCTTTTCTATGATGAAAATGTGGAAGTAATAAAGCTTGCCGTTGGAGCGAGGTATATTGATGTGCTGATCCGTTTGAGTTCAAATGGGATACAATGGCGTGGTACTTTTGTTTATGGCGAACCAAAGGCCCATGAAAGACATAATATGTGGAATCTTTTGCGTAGAATCAAACCTAATTCTAGTGCTCCCTGGATGATGATAGGTGACTTCAATGAAACTATGTGGCAGTCTGAACACATTTCAGTAGCAAAGAGGTCAGAGAGGAATATGGAAAACTTTAGGAAGGTACTGTCAGAGTGCAACCTGATGGATCTAGGATATAAAGGACCTATCTGGACATACAACAACAAGCAAGACGGACGCAGCAATGTAAGAGCGAGGTTGGATAGAGGAGTTGCTACCCCTTCTTGGTCTGAACATTTTAAGTATGCAACGGTTGAGCACATCTGTTCCTCCCGCTCGGACCACCTGCCAATCCTCTTGAGACTGGGAGGACGGAAGGAATGAAGGCCGGTAGGAGAGAAGACACAACGTCCTTTCCGATACGAGCACATGTGGGAACGAGCTGCATCCCTAAAAGCGGCTATAGATGAGGGATGGAACCACACAGCTACAGCAAACAACCTACAGGAAGTGTGCAGCAAAATCAGTCGGATGCAGCAAGATTTAAAAGGCTGGGCCAACAGAGACTTTGGGTTAGTAATAAAGAAGTCAGCTTCAATTCGGAAGAGATTAAGCTATTTATGGAACAACCAATGGTCGGAAGCTAACCAGAAAGAGATCAATAAACTCTCATCTGAACTAGATGAACTCTTGTTGAGGGAAGAAATCATGTGGAGGCAAAGGTCGAGGGCCACATACCTAAGGGAAGGCGATCGAAATACTAAGTGGTTCCAGTGGAAAGCAACATGGCGGAAGAAAAAGAATGGCATCTCAAAACTGAAGAATAGTGCAGGAGTGTGGATAGAAAACAAGGAGGATCTACATGATATGACGAGGAATTTCTTTCAGGAGCTATACAAGCAGGAGACTGATGTGGCCCCTGATGGTCTACTAGACCTTGTCCAAAAATGCATCACAGAGGATATGAACAGTGCCCTTACAAAACCGTTCTCACCCAAGGAAATATCCGACGCCTTGTTTCAGATTGGACCTCTCAAGGCTCCCGGGCCAGATGGTTTTCCAGCACGCTTCTTTCAGCGGAATTGGGATGTGGTAAAGGAGGATGTGATAAGAGGAGTCCTAAATTTCTTTGAGAATGGTGACTTACCAGAAGGGATTAATGATACTGTCATTGTTCTTATTCCAAAAGGCAAAGACCCACAATCGCTGAAGGATTATAGACCCATTAGTCTTTGCAATGTCATTTACAAAGTGATCTTCAAGTGCCTAGTAAACCGACTTCGTCCTTTCTTGGATGAGATCATATCAGAGACTCAAAGCGCGTTCATCCCGGGACGCATGATAACTGATAATGCTACTATTGCCTTCGAGTGTTTTCACAAAATCCAACACAACAGAATCAATCATAATACCCACTGTGCTTACAAGTTAGATCTGACAAAAGCTTATGATAGGGTTGATTGGAGATCCCTCGAGGGAACACTAGAAAGATGTGGTTTCAGCTAGAAGTGGGTTAACTGGGTCATGCAATGTGTGCGTACGGTCAGATATTCAGTAAGGTTTAATGAGGAACTTCTGGCTCCTTTCATCCCAACCAGGGGGCTGCGACAGGGAGACCCTCTTAGCCCCTATCTTTTTCTCTTCGTAGCGGACGGCCTGGTCAGGCTCATCAATAAGGAGATCGAGGAAGGAAATTTGACACCGATTAAAATTGCAAGGAATAGCCCGGGCATATCCAACCTTTTGTTCGCTGATAACAGTCTGTTATTCTTCAAAGCCATGGTGGAACAAGCGGTTACCATGAGAAAAGAGTTGTACATATTCCAGAATTGTACTGGGCAATTGTTGAGTGAGAGTAAATGCTCACTCTTATTCAGCGAACATTGCCCGGCAAGTACCAGAGACGAAATCAAAAACCTGCTGGGGGTAGTGGCTGAGGCATTTGAGAGCAAGTACCTCGGACTACCCACACCTGAGGGCAAGATGAAGGATGAATACTTCCAGCCTATCATGGACAAATTCGGAAAAAGGTGCAGTGACGTCTCTGAGAACTTCATGTCGTATGCAGCAAAAGAAGTACACGTGAAATCTATAGTTCAGGCTCTACCGTGCTATACAATGGGTGTGTTCCTCTTCTCGAAAGGCTTTTGCGAGAAATATGAAAGGATGATTCGAGACTTTTGGTGGGGAGAAGAAGAGGGCCATAGGAAAGTACACTGGATGTCTTGGGAACGTATGATAAAGCCAAAACGAGCAGGAGGTATAGGATTTCGAGACATGCACCTTTTCAATCTAGCTCTTCTAGCTAAACAGAGTTGGAGACTTCTGCAAAATCCGGATAACCTATGCGCCAGAGTGATCAAGTCAAAGTACTACCTGCATGGCAATCTGCTTGACACTGTGTTTGCGTCAGATGCATCACCGGTCTGGAGAGGGATAGAGGCTGGCCTGGAATTACTTAAGAAAGGAATAATCTGGAGGGTGGGAAATGGAAAGAACATCCGAATACAGAGAGATCAGTGGATTCCTAGAAATGAAGGTCTTAAAACAGCTGCGTTTGTGAGGAGATCGAGACTCCGATGGGTTAACCAACTAATGCTACCGGATAGGAAGGAGTGGAATGTTGATCTCATTAAGCAAATCTTTCATGACTTCGATGCGGAAGAGATCTGCAAAATCCACATTCCGAGCGCCAAGGTGGAGGACTGTATTGCTTGGCACTGCGAGCGGAACGGTGTGTTTTCAGTAAAAAGCGCTTATAAGCTTGCTGCATCACTCAAAGGCCAAGCTGTTCCTGCAACATCTAGCTCATCCGGGACAGCGCAAGATAGGAGCATTTGGGACCTCGTCTGGAAGGCAAGGGTTCCACCTAAAGTAAGAATTTTTGGGTGGAGGATCGCAACGAGTACACTAGCAACGAAAAAGAACAAGTTCAGAAGAACTTTGGAGTTGGATAATACTTGCAATCTATGTGGTTGTAGAGAAGAAGATGAATTTCATGCAATCATTGAATGTACAAAGAGCAGAGCGCTTAGGGATGCCCTGAGGAAAGATTGGGACCTGCCACCAGAAGCTTGTTTCCGACGTACCGGACCTGATTGGCTGCAACTTCTGCTAAGCACTGTACCTGAGACCACACGGACGAGGATTCTACTGCTTCTATGGAGGTGCTGGTTTCTGAGGGATAACTGTGTCCATGGTAACGGGAAAGAAACAATCGGGCAATCAGTCTCCTTCCTGTTAAAATATGAGGAAGACCTGCAGCAAGCTGCGCTAAATCCCATTTCTAATACAGAGAAGGCCCCTGCCATGCTGACGGAGACACTCATCGGGGAGGCAACCCACGAACACATGAGGTGGACTGCACCCGAGCGGGGAACCGCAAAGATCAACTCTGATGCGGCCTTCCTCCCGGACAGTGGGCAAAGCTGGGCTGGTGCCGTTGCTAGGGACTACAAAGGACACGTATTCCTTTCAGTAGGCAAGTATCTGGCGTCCTCAAGCTGTGTCGAGGAGGCAGAGCTGCGTGCAGCCTTAATTGGAGTGCAGACTTTGGGAGCAAAGTATCGTGGGCCAGTGGAGCTGGAAATGGATTGTAAGGATGCAACTGATATGCTAAATGCCCCAGGTGTGCCTCGCTCTCCGCACTATGGGATAATCCATGACATCAAAGAAGCACTGTCGAGGTTCGCATCTCACAAAATTACCTTTGTTGGGAGGAAATGCAACAACCTTGCACACGAAATGGCAGCGACGGCTAGATTGAATGGAGATGTACTTATGATCGCGTCAGTTCCTGATCCTCTTCAGACCCTGATGCTCTCGGAATGTACTCCTCCTCTTGAGTAACCTTACTCTTGTTTCCTCAAAACAATTTTTTTTTGTCAAAGTCTCGCCCCTGTCGCCGTACCCGTACGCCCTGCCTCCCTACTACTCATAGGAGAGAGAAAGATAGGCAAGACGCATAAATAATCCAACCCAATCGCCCTACGGATTTCCTCAACCTCGCCTTCTCTCCAATCGCCTAACCGCTCCTCTCCCAGCTCCACTTCCCAAACATTTCCGATCTCCCGTCACAGGAGTGAGCACGCCACGTTGGCACACGGAAGGCGGTGTTTAAGAACTCGAATGACAAAAATTCCACGGCGGAATTTCATCACAAATAAACAACGTCGTGTCGTGTCACTTGTCAGTCCTGTCGCGTCACCTATGCGCTCAGAAAGTAGGCATGCCAACTCGTGAGCACAGACGTTTTTCCTTTCTTTCTTTTACCACCCGGGGTCCATCTCAATCAAAAATAAATGAAGACGATTTTTTCTATTCCCTCCGTTCACTTTTGTAAGGCCTTGTAGACATTTCAGACAGCGTGCAAAACAGCTCAATTTCAATTGTCCGAGACGACTTATAAAAGTGAACGGAGGGAATACCATCTCTCTCTCGGCAGCAGAAAAGTCTCTGATTTTCTCCCGAGCCAAGTACGTACAGTATTAACTGCGAGCGATCGTCCGGTACCGGCACGCCGCTTCATCAGCCAGCCTCCCCCCTCCCCCGTCTCGCGCCGTCCCCATCCCGAGACGCAAGCATGGCTGCCGCTGCCGCTGCCGCTCCGATGCCGCCGCACTATTTCCAGTAAACAACAATACCCGACCACTCCCCACCCCCTCCCCACAGTCCCAACCCGTGCACGTACCATTCGCCCCTCCACCCAAGAACTCGTGCTCCCTCCCTCCCCAACCCCCATCCTCCCTCCACTCGCCGCGCACACGGGGGTGGTCTATTGTCCGTCGAGCCTCCGCCGTCCTCGCCGTGGGTTCCAACTTCCAAGAAGTGTGCGCGGGGCAGGCGCCGGGGATGGGCTCGTGCGCCTCGGTCCACAAGGACGACGTCGGGCTGCCCAAGAAGCAGCAGCTGCTCGCGTCCTCCTCGCCGCCGGCCAAGGACGACACCAAGGCCGTCGCCGGCGCGCCCGTCGGCGACGTGCTCGTCGACCTCAGGCGCAAGATCGAGGGGTTCGGCCCCAGCAGGACCCCTGACTCCGGTACGATGCTTCATCTTTCTCTGCCACGGCGTCCGTTCCGGTTCTTGCTTGCCTCGTCAGTTATCAGTCGCGGGTTGGATTAATCTTTGTCTTCCACGGCGGAAGGAGCAGATTGGTGGTCGGTTCTTTATTATCTTTATATATGTGGAAAGCGGGCTTTTTGGCAAGTACGTTTTCTTCATTAATTAATTTATTGTTCGTGTCTGCTCCGCATTCATGGCCAAGGATATCGGCGTTGCGGTTCTGGTAATCCCTTCTGTAAACAATCCGGTTGATTGTTTCAGAATTTCAGTAGGTAGTGATGATCTATTCATCTCAACAGAAGCAGATTTTTATAAGCGCAGACTGGTTCTGAATTCAACTGCACACGCACAAAAAACAGAGACCTGTTCAGGATTCAGCGGCTACCGAAATCTTCCTGTAGAAATTCTTGTCATAACTTATTTATCAAGTTCTTGAAAAATTCAGGCACTTGCCCAAATCAGGATGCTGTACCGCTGCAACCATGGAAAGACTATCTGGTTGCTTTGTTTTTGTAGCCAGGGGACACAGTTTCGTCCTTAGTTGCAGCAGCTTAGAATTGCCAATTTGAAGTTTCAGTCTTGTGTGTCTCTCCCTGTTGCCCCGAATCAGGAACTTGCTTCCTAGTTACTGGGTTTTGGCTCTAATATCGCTTCATCTGAAATCAACTGCCAGCCTTGACTTCTGAATTATCATCTAATAAGTGTGCAAGCCAGTGGTTTTGCGACGAGGTTTCTATCTAATTTTAATGCGGTCCAATCATACTTCTGCCTAACCGAATCCGATAATTCTTTTAAGAAGAGCAGAGCTAACCGAACCCAGTTTGCAGGTAGCAAGGATGAGATGTTCTTTGAGTCTCAACCGTGGTTGGATTCCGACTGCGAGGATGACTTCTACAGTATAAATGGAGGTAATCACAGAAATAATCACAGAAATAGACACATTTATCTACCGTATAAGAGGATTCCATTCTAGTGCTAGAGATATATACCCATTCTTGTGTGCAATTATGCTGCCTCTCCATACCAATGTTTCTCTTGTGCCAGTGGTTTGGTTCATGCTGTTCCTTTTTGAGGCTGCTCTGTCATCAATATTATATCTGTAGCATACTAGCATGTGGCTTGTTTCCTCCGTCTGTTTGTTTAGGCCAAGTTGCATGTTCTCTGATTGATATGATGATGAACTGCTGATGTAGCTTTCGTTTGTCGCGCTAGAATCCGAGGGGCTTATTTTAGGCACCGATTGCTTCTTGAGACAAAAAGGTTGAGGGCCTTTGATTTTGGTCTAGTCTTTTGGCACCATCATGCTTGTTGGCATCTAAACAGTTATGAGCTGCAGTTAGCTAACCCATCCCATGTGGCTCCTTCATTTTATATGGCTAATGCCAAATCTTGAGAATATAAGACAATCATGCCTGCCTGCCTTTTGTGACACCCTCAGGAGTTTAATAGTGGATAACTGATCTTCAACTACCAGATCATGTGATACCTTCAGGTCTTCAGCTCCTGCAACACGCTTAACCATAAGATATGATCTTCATGCTGTGCAGATTTCACTCCGTCGCGCGGCAGCACTCCAGTCCATCAACCCAGGGCGCAGACCGTGATGAGCAACGTGTTTCTTCCTGATAACGCCGCGCGGAGCCCCAACTCATCGGAGGCTTCTCCGACCGGACGGAGAAAATTGGCCGACCTCCTGCAAGAGGCGACGCGGAACGACACCGGAGAGACCGCTGCCGCCGCTGCCGGAGAGGCAGACGGTAGCAAGAGCGGACAGCAGGCCGTCGCCCCAGCTGCTGGGAAGACGGTGTCGGAGCCCAGCTCCGGCTGCAGCACGGAGCCGACGCCTGTGAGGGAAGCCCGGACCCGGAAAGAGAGGGCCTGGTACTCCGGCCGCTGCTGCCTGCCGACCTTCGTCCACAGCCTGGCCCTAGACGACGAGGGGCGGCAGAAGACCGGCCCCGGCCCGTGCGCCGTCTGAGATAGGGTCGACAGCGCGGCGTCTCCGAGCTGTATCTACTACGATATACCACTACTACTACTACCTAAACCTGATCCAGCCCCTGAATCGAGCTACCAGCCCCTGAATCGAGCTACTGTAAAGATGGCGAGAGCGCTGAGAGTGCTATACATATAAATATGCTTGTAATAATCAAGCGAATAGTCCACTCCGGGGACTTCATGTGCTGCGTCTGGAACCCTACCTAGCTCGAGAAAATGCTTGGGCCTGTGCATATCATGTTGCCTGCCTCTGATCTCCGCGGATATGTTTTTCAGTTGCCAGCAGTTGGCCAGAAAGAAAATGGCATGATTGATGCCTGTGTGTGTGTATCTAGTTCTAGTACCTACCATGCCATGTTCTCCAGGGGTTCACTGTGTGTGGTGTGTGTGATTGGCGGGGTCTGTGGCAACTTGATGATGGGTGCTGGGCAAGTGGATTTCGCCTCTGTCCAGGGTGCCAATTGTCCGGTGGCCTTTTGCCTTTTCTTCCATTGGCGAATCGGCGTGGATCACGGCGGAATCCGTGGTTTGCAGCGGTGCCACGGATGGAGCCGGATTCGTGCTGCTTTTTGGTCGAACTTTGTGACAAGGACGCGCTAACTGCCCATGATACGTGGGTCATCACACACCACTGCCTTTTGATGTGCATGGAATGGTACGTTGGTCTTGTATGCAAACCTCTGACCAGCGAGCGAGAGAGAGAGCAACACAAACCTAAATTAAGGGCGAACCAGCACAGCAAACAAATATCCAACACAGACCCGTCGAAAAGAAAAACAAATATCCAACACAAAGTTAAAATCAGCGGCCAAAAAATATCTTCGTTTGCTCCTTACCGACTGTGATCCGGGTAAGCTTATCGTCGGCAAATAAGATCGATTTTGGCAGCACACACATGTAACAATCAATGAATCAGCGCACGGAAAATACCAGTATCAGACAACATTATAAGGCCTTCACAACACAATGACAAATAGAGGTGTCTGTTCTTGCTGGGACCCGGTGTGGATCACCCAATCAGGTTTGACATGAGACACGGAAAATATCTTCTTTCGCCCCTATTGTGAAATCTTTCGGAGGTTCGAAAGGACCGGACAAGCTCATATTCGGCAAACAAAATCAATTTTGGCAGCACACACATGTAACAATCAATAATGCAGCACACAGAAAATACTAGTATCAGATAAGGCCTTCACAACACAATGACAAAAGTGGCGTCTGTTCTTGTTGGTCCCTCATGAGGATCACTCAATCAGGTTTGACATGAGATACGCGAGTACTACCAGACGCATTGATTCTGAGTTCTCTAATTAAGATTACCAAGTGGCATCGAAGAGACCGCGCACTGTAGCGCTACAAATACAGTGTGGTGATGGTGCAGTCAGAGAACAGGGCCAACCACATGCCTGACCAGGAAACACATCCACAGCACCAGATCCGTTTTATGTCGATATTTGCTGCTTCTCTGAAGTGTCACGCGTTCAAGATCGATGCTTCAAGCTTCCTACACGTGCCTTCCGATCGGCGTGATTCATGGGCTACCAAAGCGAGGAAGACATGAGAAAGGATCGGATGCGCTGCAGCAGCTCTGCCTTCACCGCATCGGGCACCGAGGCTGTTTCAGAAGCAGGAGAAAATGATAATCGTGCAACAAGAACCAACACAAATGAAAGAAACATTTGCTTAGGGCTTAGCATCATTGTTATTGACAAAAAATGCACAAATCTATGGCAAACATAGGAGGCGAGAAGCAGGTGCAAAAAAAGAACGTTCTCCAAAATTTTGTCCCAGATCCTGTTACAGTAAGGAAGCAATTGACTTGGGAGTTTAGGCACTACTTTTTCCCTTGCTTGACACTTACGCAAAGATGGACATATGCAAGCCATGGTTATATTATTTTATAACAATTCTTCCAACTCGTATCTAATGTGCGCTGGAACTAAGTAACATACCTCTTGCAACCAGAAATAAATTAACTGGACAAATGAAAATCACTGACCTCTTCCTTTTGGAGTAATAACATGAATAAGATCATCTAATGTTACATTATTTCTTCCCTTTTTCCTTGCATAAGCCCTAGAGAGAAAAATAAGATTAGTCAACAATGACGACGGGGAATGATAGCTTTTAGATTCTCAAGGGAAAACCATGGCATCTTGAGTCCAAACAAATGGAGTGTGCAATACAACACAAATTTCAGAATGCTCAAATATGACAGCTTGAGGCAGCAGACAGGTTAGTGATAAACTGGAAGTTGGTTGCCAAGGCTCAAGAGATTTCAGTGATATAGAATTAGTCTGGAGATGATTTGAATAAAGGTAGAACCGGACTGTAAGAACTGCATAGCCATGTATTCTGCAGAAACATAACAGTTGAAGTGGTCCTGTGCAACGGAGTTAAGAAACTCTTCATAATACTTGACGAATGTGCAGAAAGTATGTCTTAAAGCGCACATGCTGCTTATGTTACTTGTAGCTCTGGAATTTTTGTACTAAAACAAAACATTTAACTCATTGCAACTTTGCAAGTATTATAGAGACTGGTATTGGTTTAAACTGTAGTAAACACCTACTAAAGCCATGCATTTGCTCATCGATCAGAAAGTGGTATGCCTGCAGTTAAGTTTGCTTTACGAGAAATCAAGAGAAATATATGCTATTTTTCTTTGGTCATAACTATCCTAGTAAACATGATAAAAACTCTGCATTGTTGTGAGTTTAAAGAATATACTTCAAAGATAAAAACATCATTATTTTCGAAGGGGAGCAAGTTTTTTATTCGAATGAAATCCTACAGCAATGTTAACTGATTGCTATGCAACCCGATAACAATAGGGAACATCTGGTCTTGTTTGGTTTTTCTTTCAAGGATTTTTTCTTTCTTGCAATTCTGCGAACTTTGAATGCATCATTTCCTCCATTTATTGGACGGGAAACGACAGATATAATTCATTCTTCAGAGTTGTTAGCCATTGTAAAAAACATGCCAGACATTATACCGGACTTTGACAGATGAGGAGCCAAACCTGCAGAGAGCCTTCATGTCATCCCTCCAGCCGCACTCTACGAGCCGCTCCCGGAGAAGCTCCATCAGCCGCTCCTTCTCGCCGCTCTCCACCAACTTCAGAAACCAAAAACCCAGCTCACTGTTACCACACCCCGATGAAAGTAGAAGCAAAAAACACAACCCTAAGACCATCCACTGTCCCTTCTTGAAAAACCTTATCCCCTCTCCCTATCAAACCCTAACCAAATCGAATCGAAATTTTCAGCCACCCGTATGGCACCGGCAGCTGCCGGCAAACCCAACACACGCCCATAGCACGCCAGTAACCCTAATCCCAAGAGAGATTAAAAAAAAGGAAGGACAGCCGGCCCGCGACCGCAGATTTGCTGCGCCGCGGGGGCAGGGGCGGTGGGGGCAAGCGAGCAGGCGGTACCTTGAGGTTGATGATGTCTCCGAGAGAAGCCTCCTTCCCTACCTCCTCCTCCTCCTCGTCGTCATCGTTCGGCGTCGGCGGCCGGTTAATCGACGACCTCCTGCCAACAAGAACAAAAAGAACGCAAATTCTTGAGAAATAGAAACACCGGCGGACTGGATGGCACATGGGTAAGACAGCGTGAGGGTTAATCGCAGGATGCGCGGAAGAACGGAAGAGGATCGATTAGCTCGCTTACATGCTTGGATTGGAGAGCGCCTCTGGCTTCCTGCTTCGTCTCGCGGGTTCCTCAATCCTGTCTCCTCCTCCTCTGCTTCGGACGTCGTCTGACCGGCTTTGCTATGTTTTTTTCTTTGCCCTGTTCCTATCGGAGCCGACTGCCGGGTCCAGTTGCTGGGCCGTTTCTTGCGATACAGAGTGTTAGCCCGAGCTCCTTTTTTTTTTTTGAG